CATATGTTATTTTATTAATTTTCAGAGCAACGTACTTATAGACTCAGTATCGTTATTATTGCTCTCATAGACATGAGAGAACTGAGACGTGGACAGATTAACTAAGTTCCCCAAAGTTACACAGCTAGTGCCTAGCATGCATTTCCACCCATTTCTCTCTGTCTCTCTCTCTCTTTTTAAGATCTTTCATTTTTTAAGTGATCTCCACCAATATGAGGCTAGAACTTACAACTCCGAGATCAAGAGTTGCATGCTCCACTGACTTGAGCCAGCCAGGCACCCCTGTGCCCATTTCTTTCCTCTACCCAAGGCTATGCTTTTAACTATTATGATTGTACTAGTTAAGGCAGTGGTTCCCAAACTTGAACACTCATTAGAATTACCTTCTCAAAACACACATTGCTAGGGGCTCCTGGGTGGCTCAGTTGGTTAAGTGTCTGCCTTCGGCTCAGGTCCTGATCCCAATGTCCTGGAATTGAGCCCACACTGGGCTCCCTGCTCAGTGGGGAGTTGGCTTCTCCCTCTCCCACTCTCCCTGCTCATTCTCTCTCTCTCTCTCTTTCAAATAAATAAATAAAATCTTTAAATACACACACACACACACACACACACACACACAGATTGCTGGACGACACCCCTTGAGGTTTTGATTTTGGAGGTGGGTGGGGCCTGAGAATCTGCCCCATTTCTAACCAGTTCCAACAACCTGCCACAATAACGTGCTACCATCAGCGTTTTCATTTGTAAAGCAATCATCAGATATAAATTAGTTAACTTATACTAAATCATTAGCATTCAAATACAGCATATTAAAACATGTAACAAAATTTTATTGAAAGATACTTTTATTTACTGGCCCTATAATCTCTAAAACAGAATCTATTTCTAATTCCTTCCACGTACTTCAAGCAAGGTTGAATGTCTTCCTGGTATAAACTCTACCCAACAAGCCTTCACACTAGCACTATGTATCATGCATTATGTAGAGAGATGTATGTATATATACATATATCCTTATATATATATATTGAATTCAGTGAAGCCTCAGTTTGTCCTAACTTGACTGTAGACTTATCTTCTTAATTTAAAATAATAGTCTAGTTAGCAAAAGGTGTTCTCTCTCTGCTATCACTCCAGTTTTTCCACATCAGTGCTATTCAGACACCTTTTCACAACTGTTCTCTGACTTCCCTGTGACATATCCGATTGCCAACCTTTACCTTTCACAAATGGCCACATAACATTTGCACTATACTCTACAAGCATATTCACCATAATCTAATTTTTTTTTACCTCAGCAAAAAATCCTATAACCGCTTTCAGGTTTAGACTCTGTTTTCTGTCGCAGGGATGCATATGCTTAGAAGACTCAGTTTGATTACTGACTCAGATAGTGACTCAGTGACACACAGGTCATGGGAGGCAGAGGGCGGCATTAGCTCGTTTCATAAACCACTAAAAATCAGCACAATTAGTGTTATACCCTTGAACTGGAGTCCAAGTCCAGTTGAGAGCTGGGACATAGAGCCGGTAAAAACAGCCCGGCACTGCTCTGGCGTGACCCTCCGTGAGGCCGTGTCTACAACCCCAAATCCCCGTCTTTATTTGTCAATGTGTTGCACTTGAAAATAACAATAAATCAACAGAAAAACAAAGACCACAAGCCCCTTCTGGAACAAAATGCTGCAAATACAGTAGTAAAAAGTCCTGCCAGCCCCCGATGAGATGTGACTTTCTGAGGAAAGCGGATAATTTTTACTTGATGGTGAATCGTTAAAAGTGAGCCAGATGATTAAACTTAATGGAACAGCCGCATTAAACTGAAATTAGTCAAAACATGCCTCGGGCAGCCTACAACCTTTTATTTGTTGTTGTTTTACTTCTGCCTTTTACAGTGGCCATGATGAATGACATCACAAAAGAAAAAATCCAATTAAAATCTAAGTGCTCAATAAACCCCTAATGTCTGGTTGCCACCGCCACTTTCTCTAGCACTGATGTCTTATGTTTCCTCTTTTCCCCAAGAAGAGAGAAAAGAACTGGCCCCAGGGGAGTTCAGCGGAAGGAGAAAGAACACACCAAGGCTTCTGGAGGTTTCTGCTCTCTGCACTCTCTCAGAAACAGGCACTGCACTTTGAGGGGGATGAGGTTAAATTGTTTTATTATCAGACAACGCCTGTGTAAAGAGATGCATTTTCCCACTAGTTTTCAAATATTGATAAATCAGAGTTGGGATCTGGAGAGCAATCCTGTTCACACTCTTAGTCGGTGTCTCCACTGCCCTTTCATAGCGTCTCGGGTGTTTGTTCTATAAGTCACCGAAATGGTCTCTCTTGACAGCTAAAAATAAGTTTCTGATTACTTTTACCTGAATAAATCTTGTGACCAGATGTGGTATTCACCTACTAAGTGTGCAACAATTACATATTGAGGGTGATGAAAGAACCAGCAAGGGAAGTCTACAATCTAGTGGAAGGCAGAGTATCATACATCACATGGAAAGACAGCAACTGCCACCCAGTAGAAGAATACTAGCTTTCGATGACAGATTTTGCCTTGGAGATGCCATGTGTTTGTAAAATTGGGTTTTCAAAGTCCTTACAACAAAGTTCTCAAAGTCAAAATAAGAGTCAAAACATGCTTATTAGGAGAGAGGAGCTAACAGGAATGGTATCTTAAAATGTGCTTTTACGGCATGTTTACAGAGGAGTTAATATAGAATATGTACAGTCTCTAATTAGATCTTCCCGAAAGCCTTGTCCTGTGGTTCAGTATCCTCATTTCATTGATAAGGATCTTGGCTCAGGGAGGTTAACTGACTCTGCTATGATCTTACACGTGGTGAGTGAGAGAGAATGAACACAGCTCCTATTTGGGACTCTGGTGCGGTGCCCCCCACACTGCCAGGTTTGCTGACCAGGGCTGCCCGGAAGCCAGAGCCAATGGGCAGTGATGTTGGTTTCATTAGTCATGAGTTAATGAAATAGCTTTTTAAGAGCTCTCTTCAGTCATTAGAATTTGACGATGGAGAGTTAAACTTTCCCCAGTGGCTCTTTCTGTGTAATCACGGTTTCAACATTTCCTTAGCATATCACATTACACAAATCATGGAGTCCTCTTTTGTTTTACATTTCTTATGGCGTTTGTCTCACTTCTAAGCAATTCCCTCCCCATTCCCATTTATCTTCCATTATTTCTGCCAAATTGCTTTCAAGGCTACTAATTGTATGAATAACATTCTCTTCTTCAAACTCTGCTATTAACTAGCACTAGCTGTGTGGCTTTGGACACAGTTTCCCAATCTCTATAAAAACAGGGAGGTTGCACCAAAGAATCTATAGGGCCTCTTCTTGTGCTCAAGTTCTAGTCTTCTGACTTTCACAAAAGGTGTATGATTTTGAAAACCCTACATAAACTGGAGCCTTTGTTTTCTTGACTCTACGATGATGGATTCAGTTAGCTCATGGTCCCCAAAGTGTGTTTCTTGGAAAACTGTCCTCGGGACTGCCAACATCCAAAAAGGATTCTTCACCCAGGAATGTTCAGGAAAGCTAGATTAAATAAAATCAAGTACGGTTTTGAACTGTGGGCATTCACAGCCTTTAATATGTTAATGTACACTGGGTGAACTGGGTGACGCCCAAGAAAAGAAGTTGAAGTATTTCCCAAACTTATGGCAGCACAGAACCCCTTTTCCTTTTTTTTTTTTAAGATTTTATTTATTTATTTGAGAGAGAGAGAATGAGAGATAGAGAGCACTAGAGGGAAGAGGGTCAGAGGGAGAAGCAGACTCCCTGCCGAGCAGGGAGCCCGATGTGGGACTCGATCCAGGGACTCCAGGATCATGACCTGAGCCAAAGGCAGTCGCCTAACCAACTGAGCCACCCAGGCACCCAATAACTAGGATTTTAAAATAGTTCTCAATTTTCACTTCTACAAATTTGTAAAGAGGGTTAGCTTATCTGAAGACCTAAGAAAATTCCTTCTAAACTTTTTCTAATGGGAAAAGGGAACCAAAGACACAACAGGAACTCAACACTCTAGAAATCATTGCTGAGACAGGCAACGTGGGCAAGTCACCAAGTTAGAATCATTATCTTCCATTTTAATGGTATATTAGCATTCACTTCAACCCTTAACCCAGACGCCTTTCACTGACAGTCTTATCAGAGCCTCTGCTGGATTACCTTCAGGAGCAGGGCACCCACTACTCCATAATGCAGACTATTCCATTTTAGTCTGGCTCCACTTTTTAGAAGATCCTCACCTATATTAAATGAAATTCTGAGTAGTAAATATTCTTGTTCTAAGTGACCTTGTAAATTGCCTAGTCAAGGGATTTTCAAGGCACTGTTCATGACAACACTTATGATGTTTCTCAGATGCTTTGAGCTGAATTTCATAAGTAATTAAATAAATATCACATCTTCCCAGAAAAGTGATTATAAACTCCATCATATAAGACTCAAGGAGACTGGGAGACTGGGTGGTTCCCTAAATTCACCAAAATAGGAATATATAGAGGTAGAATGTACTCAGGTCTCTGTTTCAAAAACCAAACTCCTTTTCTCAATAGCATATCGCTTCTCTTGCATGTCCAGATACATAAAAGTGAGGAGGAGAGTGTATTTGTAAAATCTGAGTACTGTCAGGAAAATAGTGAAAATAGTTTCATTCTAACCAGGCTAATATGTCTTTGGGCATCTTGCTATTACTCTGGCCTTTAGAATTCCCTTCTCCAAAAGAAGGATTATTACATTTTCTATAAGCTCTGTTCCAATATTGGAAATTTCTATGATTGTAAGGAAACATATTCATTAATAAATGGTATTACTATTGAGGATTTAAGTAAACAGTGAGAAAAACAAAACAAAACCCAAACCTGCATCCCTCAGAAAGGACTGAATGAAAGTTGACATAGCAAGCATCATAAAGACAAACAGTTTAGAATCACATGCTTGACTTTTACTTTCTTTAATTTTTTTGTTTTTCTACACTAGTTACATTCAGACCAGGATAGAGGAGATGGATCACTTAAATATATCCTTTCAGGAGATGGAGCAGGAGATCTCTTCATTATCAATGAAAACACAGGGGATATCCAAGCCACCAAGAGGCTGGACAGGGAAGAAAAACCTGTTTACATCCTTCGAGCTCAAGCTGTAAACAGAAGGACAGGGAGGCCTGTGGAGCCCGAATCCGAATTCATCATCAAGATCCATGACATCAATGACAACGAACCAATATTTACCAAGGATGTTTACACAGCCACTGTTCCTGAAATGTCTGATGTTGGTGAGTGAGATGCAATTTCAACCATACAATGTTTCTCCTCTAGTACATCAACTGAATAAAGGATCCTATGAGTGAAATTTACTGAGTTGAGTGAATGTAGATGTTAAATCCCAAAACTATGCTATTTCAAACACTCCCTTTATGGCCTATTTTGTAAGTGCACCTGCATTTCCTAATATTACTCTAGTCTCATTTTATCATTATCTTTAAGAAAACAGCATTTCCTCTAATGATGAAGGGATGAAAAATGGCAGGCAAGAACAGGAGGAAGAAAGAGACATCACCTCATCTACTTTCTGCTCCCCAGGTGCCCACTCTGTTCCTCAGGCTGAGAGATAGTGGCCCTCTCCACCTCTCTCAGCACATATTGGTACTGGGCCTGAGGTGAGGATTTCCCCAGTGTAAAACAAAAGCCTGAATCTGCAATCCAGGCTGAAGAGTAATGACATTTGCTTTAATTAACTATGTTTTTGGGAAAGAGACTCAAAGAAAACTTAAAAAAAAATCCATAAACAATGTGCAGATGATAATGTCTAGGGGATATATGCTTTACTAAGTGATGGAAATTAAAAGATTCTCATGACATTAATATGGTAAATTAATATTTTGTGCACAACTCTACTACCAATTAATTCTAAAGTTAATAAGTATGGCTTTAATTTATTTAAGTTGGGAGAAGGTTAACAGAATTCAAATTTTAAAAAAATGCTACTGACATCACTCTTAGCCACATTAAAATACTTCATGGGAGACAGTGACAAATTTTAAGCTACTTGTATAAAGGGTTATTTTCATTTTCATTCAGTGTCAACTTCAGAAGGGCTAAGATACATAATAATAACTTTTCCATAATCCTGTGAGTCAGATATCAGAGGCATTTTAGGTCACAGTATCAAGACTTGGAAAAACCTAATCCATGGAAATGATTGTAAACTCTCTAAATCTTTCTCATCAAGAAGTTGCTCATCTCATTACTTAAAGCCACTCTGTTTTGTTAGAAAAACCACAAACCATCAGCAAAGCAAAAGAGAGGGATTAGAATTCTTTTAAAAGGAAGATTTGTTAGGAAAAAAGTATTTTTCCTCGATGGGGTAAAAGGCAGGAAGAATTAACAAAGCACCTCTCATCGTCAGCACCACCCAGTAAAACAGTTTCCAGAAAACAAAACTTGATGTGCAAGGTGTCACTGCACAAGTATAGGGGGTGCCATTCACCTTCGAAGCCATTATAGAATTAATATGTATTACAAATATTTGGGGGGTAGCTAGAAGTAACATATCTTGAGGAAGGGAAGGCTTTCTCATTTGCACACAGGCACAGTTATGTTCATATTAACCATTATCATAAATTAGCATATCATTATGATGATATAAAAAAGCACCTTAAAGAAATTACATCATGATTGTGGGACAGCAGCAGGGTAGTATAAATGGGCTTTGGTGTCAGACAGACCTGAGTTTGAAATGCTACTAATAAGCAGTAACTTGATGTCTCTGATCCTTCAGTTCCATATCTACAAAAATAATAAAGTCAACTCCTAAGGATTATTGTAAGGATGAAATGAGAAAACAAGTGCAGAGCCCCCGGGATAATATCTGGCAAGTAACAGGTGCCCAAACATCCAGATAATCATATTCTAAAAGCATTCAAATTTTATATTGATGTCAAATAAGAATGTGGGTGTTTGTTGACTTCTACTATTAGCTCTCGGTCTAAAATTATATAATGTTCTCATTCCCCCCACCTTCCTTCCCACATTACAAGGATGGGAGCTCTATCTCATGTGTCAACATACTACATCCAGAGCACCGAACCCTAACACAGTTCAATATATTTGTTCAAAAAACGGGATTGGTCAGATATTACAAAAGCAATATAAAACTTCTAATATTCCCTGAATGTAACTTCCCTGTCCTTTCCATGGACTGGAGACCTCTAACAGTATGCTTACCATTTATCTGATATGAATATCAAAAGTCAGCCATGAGATGATCTTCATCAGAGGGTCTTACCCTTTTTGGAAATCACAGATCCCTTTGAGAATCAGATAAAAATCTATGGATAGTCTCTTCAATGAAATAGACATGTAAGCATAAATACAAAAATCTGTGTGGAATTTCATGGGGGTTAGGAATACTTTGAAGGTTATTAGGCGACTGCGGTCCTTAAAACAAGAATGCTGATCTAAAATATCACAGCCTTCTTTGTGCATTTAATTATAATAATTTTTTTTGGAATTACAGGCTCCAGATGTGAATACTCTGGTGTTTTAATTAATTATTTAACCCAACACTACCTCTTTCAAGGTTCAGGGCTTTCAACCTCTTAGAATTATTAGGTAGATTTATTATTTAGGGTGCTTTTATTTGCAAGTAACAGAAAACCTAACTCAAACTAGTTTAAACAGATAAAAGCATTTATTGACTTAAGTTAGACTTAAGTCAAAAGTTAAGTGGGCTTTGGACATGGTTTGATTTGGGTTCAATTATTTCTCTGAAATTTTCTGTCCTATTCAGCTTTGTCCTCAGGCTGGCATCTCTGAGGTCACAAAGCAGCTGCTGCATTGACAGGCCCTTGATAAGCACGTTACAGTCCAGGAGAGAGAGCACCTATGACACAGAATTCCCAACAAAATCACAAGCGGCTTCCTGATTGGAGAACCCCAAAACTAATCCCCATAAACAAAGTAATGCAAGATGCTGACTGACAGGTCTGGATAACTTCCAAGGACGACCATACCAAGAATCCAATCAAATCCCAACCTTTGGAGATTGATTGGAATTGGTTCCACCCAAGGTCATGACCATCCCCATGCTTCTCTTTAACCTAACCCTTACAACATTTAGAATGTTGATCACACTCCTTCAGAGTGAGAAATCCAAGGCTATTTAACCTAGTACTATCCTGAAGTTCTCCACTCCCTTGCCATGATAGTTCTGTACAAAAGTAAGATCATGCTTTCTCTTTGTGTGTGTGGATCAAGGATCCATATGGACCCTTAATTTATTTTCAATTCATGTTTCTGTCATTACAGGCACATTTGTTGTCCAAGTTACTGCAACTGATGCTGATGATCCAACTTATGGGAACAGTGCTAAAGTTGTGTATAGTATCCTACAGGGGCAGCCCTATTTTTCAGTTGAATCAGAAACAGGTTAGAATTCCTTTTTGATCTTCTTTTTACAATCTGTAATTTTAATTGACATGTTCAGCTGAGCTGGCATATTTTTTTATAAAAACAATCAGTGTAATTGAATTTTCTTAGATTCATCTGCCAAGTGCCAGCAATATACTTGTAAACATGAAATCCACACCATTTCAATCAAGAAATCTGACAATGGATGTTTCATCCATTGTGTTTATATAGGGTAGATTCAGAAAAACTTCTACAATGTTATTTTTTCTTCCAGTTTGGAGTAAAGTTAAAGACCAGTCCCTTCTGAAAGCCATTAGGGCTATTTACAAATATTCCAATTCTTCTTTTTCTAGTTATTTGGTATCTCTTTGCACTGCTCTGAAGATAGAGGTAGCCAGGAGATTTGTCTGGGCCAATAAATGTGGCTGTGATCCAGGTCACTTCCACGCAGAACTTTTAGACTTGGTGCACAATCCACATTCCTCTCCTCCCGCCACAGAGATCACAGATGGAAACCAATGTTGACACTGGTCTCCAGCCTGCATGTCTGTTATCCTGAGCAGAGCTTCTTGCTGGCCTACTCAGAGCATGAAAAAAAATTAATGTTAGCTGTGTTAAGCAAGTAAGATTTTGCCTTGTTTGTTATGACATTGTCTAGCCCATCATAACTGAGACCATCCCAATCAACAAAGTGGATTCCTTAATGGAATCCTTGTTTTAACATCTCATTTTTCTGCGTTTTCTCCATAGAGTAGCATATTATCTTATGACGAATTATTTCTTAGGAAATATCGTCTGTGCTGTACATTAAATTCTACACATATTTTTGCTATCATGATAGGAGTTGAGTTTCTTTTGTACATTTTTCAAGCATCCATTATTGTTAGTAGAAATCAAAACCTTTCTAGATTACTAGATCCAGTTGGAAATTGATGTGTTAAGAGGTGCAACGAACTTGGCAAGAATCCCAAGGAGAAAGAAAATGCTGAGTTGAAAAACAATAAGGATGAAAAATTAGAAATATCTAACGTAAAGAACAAAAGGCTAAGGGGATCTCCTATATTTAAATGGAGAAGTACTGTGATTGGAGAACAGGATGCAGCTGCAATTTCACTGAAGCCAGGACTCTAGGAATAAAACTGACCTGTTGTCTGAGGTATTCGTGTTAAAAATTAAAAAAAAAAAAGATATTTTCAGCTTCGTTAGTTGTTAAGCATTGGAATGTGCTACCAAAGAAGGTTATAAAGTCTTTAAAGCTTTCAAAGCCTTCAAAGCCTATAAAGATTTTTGAAAGAATGTTGTTAATTTAAGCATAAAGCCTACATAGAGATTAGGCAAACTTTTAGTTCTTTCAACTACTTATTTTATAACTACCTGACAATAGAGATAAATTTAACCTAACATAAGAATATTGGTCACTGCTGGGGCCAGTTGAACTCATGCTCACATCAGCTTTAGGAAAACTTCAATTTTCTAGGATCATACAGATGATAATTATGGGAGAACTGATGCTGTGTTTTCTTAAGACCATAGTTTTGTGGTTTAGAAAATGCTCCGAACATTCACTATGATAGGTATATTTGATGAGCAATTAGCCGATTCAGTAAAGTGAAACTCAAGAGTCAGTTCAAGGAAATGGCTTAACAATTTACTCATAGTACACTTAAATGTCTTTTATCAAGCAGCTAAAGTAGGATAACACTGTACCACATGTCAAGTTATATTTTGCTATGTAATCTTATAACACATGATATTTATACTACCTACAATCTATACTATTGCAGTATTGGCTTGTTCTTACTCTCCTTTTATGATAGGTGTCTGTTTGTTTGTTTTAATGGATCTATCTCCCCTTTGTCGTTTTAATTTCCTTCAGCATAAGGGCTACCTACAATCATCTTTAAGTCACCCATGACATCTGTATAGTGTTTTGCATATTGTGGATAACAATCCATGTTTGTATAAATAAATGATTTGATAAAGTATTTTTAATACATCCCTTTTCACTTCTGAATTTCACATCCATAGGTATCATCAAGACAGCTTTGCTCAACATGGATCGAGAAAACAGAGAGCAGTACCAAGTGGTGATTCAAGCCAAGGATATGGGTGGCCAGATGGGGGGATTATCTGGGACCACCACAGTGAACATTACGCTGACTGATGTCAACGACAACCCTCCCCGGTTTCCCCAGAGTAGGAACATTTGATTGAATGAATTTCTTCTGTGCACTTCTGTAAAACTCTAACTTTAAGAATGATGTTTATTTTCCATTATTATTAATCATCAATATTAGTAACCTCAGTAAGAACCATACTTTTATTAGCTGAGCAATTTCTGATATGGTTATTGTTGTAAAGCTAACACCATTGTTTTACTTTTCTTTATTAAAAAGACTACCACAGGCATAAATTTGCTTGTGCAGAACATATGTACACAAGCATGCTGCTATTTGTTAAAAAAAAAAACTGACTTTATGTTTTGTGAATTTAATCAGTCATGTAATCTCTTTTAAATCCTCACAAAGCTTTATAAGGGGAGGATTTATCATTTTACTGTCCCTAAAAATACAATCGGGGAAATAACCATGTACTTAATCCATTTATAATCATAAATAGTTTTCTATATTATGGTTAATTGAGATACGGAGAGTCTTCTCTATAATCATTAACTCTCATGACTAGATAGGAAAAAAAGAAGGAAAAACAACATTTTTAAATGCCCACTTTGTGGGCGCCTGGGTAGCTCAGTTGGTTAAGCGACTGCCTTCAGCTCAGGTCATGATCCTGGAGTCCCCGGATCGAGTCCCACATCGGGCTCCCTGCTCAGCAGGGAGTCTGCCTCTCCCTCTGACCTTCTTCCCTCTCATGCTCTCTCTCTACCATTCTCTCTCTCTCTCAATAAATAAATAAAAATCTTTAAAAAATAATAAAAAAATAAATGCCCACTTTGTATCAAGCAGTACACTAGAGCCCTTCACATAGAGCACCTCAAGTGGGTACTGGTTTTAATGTAGTTTTTCTTCCAGGAACAAAATTCATTTCTGACCATGATCTAAGTAAACTACCTGAATCCTGTCTTCCAGGAGAAAATAGCTGCCCACTATTAAAAAGAAAGCCCACTTACCCAATCATGGCATTTCTTTAAAGTTGGTCAGCTAATAGGGGCTTCTTTTATAATGGAGATACACATGGATCAACAGGAAATCATTAAATTATTTTTTAGTTTTTTCAAGTATTTAATCACAGCTAAATGCAAAAAAACAGAGCATCAAACTAATTTCTGATTTAATGGGTAGAAGAAAAGTTTTATAGGCCCTAAAACTTTCCCCCACAGAGGCCTGAAATGACAATATCAGAATCAGCAATACTGTGCCCCAAAACCTCCTTTTCAATAGGGGAATGCCCCGGGGAAGGATAACAAAAGGATTCACCAGCACCTGGAATACCACAGGGACGTTACCTCACTTTGCTCTCTCCTTGGATGACCTGTGATCATTACTGAATAATGTACTAAAGCACAGGAGGGGAGAAAAACTCTAGAGGAAAACCTTGGCTTGTGTTATCATTTTGCCAAGGATGAGCCCAACATTTACTGAATGGATGAAAAAAGTGTACATCTATGAAATACAGGTTTTATTTATATTTTTTTAATGTTTTATTTATTTATTCATGAGAGTCAGAGAGAGAGAGAGAGACAGAGGCAGAGGGAGAAGCAGGCTCCCCGCCTAGCAGGGAGCCCGATGCGGGACTCGATCCCAGGGCCCTGGGATCAGGACCTGAGCCGAAGGCAGACGCTTAACCATCTGAGCCACCCAGGCGCCCTGAAATACAGGTTTTAATTCAGCCATACAGATATAAGAATAGGAGAAACCTATGCATAGAAAAAATACTGTCATGAAATTTAAAAGAAAAGATTAGTCGAAGAAACAATTAGGTGCTTTCTCTCTCAATGCATCTAATGTGTATCCCTAACTACAGCCAGACCAGCTCCCTGGGTGAGTGAGTGTCTGCTTGGGTACATCCTCCAGATCGCTGTCATTTATTTTCACCTTCAGTTGTTATAAGCAATGACACAAAGAACCCTTTTAAGAACTACCTCATAATTGGCTTGAAGTCACAAGTCAGGTTAAATTCTTTCCCATTCTTTCTGCTAAGATTATTCAACGGGGGCTTCGAAACCTTGTGCACCACCCCCACCCTGAGCAGCTTTGTCTTTCTTGCCATCATACCCATGAACCTGGAGGCCTATTTACAGGACAAGAAAAGTGTTCTCCATCTGCAAAGAGACAGGTCATGACAGAAGAAATATTCTTAACAACCATGAAAGTAAGGATGTAAGGAGGATTGAGCACCATTAATTATCGTGAGGAAAGTACAATCTGCCTGCATCCGTAGTAATGTCTGAAAGAACTGTTAGAAAATAGGTTTTGTCTTTATTATGATAGAGCATCCTTCATCTGTGCTTAACTTATATCTGTCTGGTGATTAATAGGTACATACCAGTTTAAGACCCCCGAATCTTCTCCGCCTGGTACACCAATTGGCAGGATCAAAGCCAGCGACGCTGACACGGGAGAAAATGCTGAAATTGAGTACAGCATTACAGAGGGAGAGGGGCTGGACATGTTTGATGTTGTCACCGACCAGGAAACCCAGGAAGGGGTCATTACTGTCAAAAAGGTAATGCCATTTGTTAGCTACCATGCAAATGAGACATTCACTTTTCTCCAGTCCCCGAGTAGCCAGGGTAATTATGTCTCACATGAACGTTCCCCTGGATTATTTTACTAATTTTTTTTTAAACACCAAATCTAATGGTTGGCTTTTAGAAGTCCTCGATAATCTGATGCATTCATTAACTTCATACTTTTAATAAATTCTTATTAAGAACCTCCTAATAAGTAAATAAATGACAAAAATAAATAATATACATTAAAGTACATAAAATAAATATTGTCAATGAATACTAAACAAACAGTGCCAGACACTATTCTAGATGCAGGAGGTGCAATAGTACATTCAACAGAATGGTCTCTGCTTCCACAGAACTGCCAATCTAAGGCAGAAGAGACAAGGAAGCAAATAAGCAAACAAACAAGTGTATAGTTATAAATTCTGATACACGCTTTGAAGGAAGAGAGTAACACAAGCAGTGATAAAGATGGCCTGAATTAGAGAGAGAGAGAAAGAGGGTATAAAAAGACCACAGAAATAAATTAACACAAATTTCCTATGAGCTCTTTAGCTACTCTTTGGAACACGATAATAATTTTTTTATATTTCTGAATTCCAATTTTTGCCCTATATACTCACTATTTACCCCCCAAAATTGTCTAGGACCACAGGGCAGTACACAGAAGTGTGGAAAAATTTAAAACCAATGAACCGTGTGCTTCAAAGCTAACAACACATTAATTTTGATTACCTTTTTTAATGATTGCACTTTCATCACATACAGTGTAATATTTTCTCTCTCCTTTAGCACACTGTTATATTCGCTGGTAAATATAAGTATAGGTGGATGTAAATAACGAGAACATTCTTTCCTCTTAAGCTTTGGATTACATGTCTTCATACCTGGAAACACAATAAAACATGTTTAAGCGACACTGAGACCAATTAGGAAGCCCATTAGTGTGCATTAACCTTTTTAATTTTCTTAGTGCATTATCAGATTCAAACTGAAATTTTGCCTAGCCAACTAAATCACATTCACTAATATCTTGATTAATTGTGTTTCTAGTGAGCCTTGTGATATCATCATCTAAAACTAAAAGTCAGCAATAAGCATTTGGGTTCACTATGTCTCAAGAAGTAGAGATACTTTTCCTAAAGACCTCTGATAGCAATGATCATTACTTTCATTGGCAAATAATTAGCCCAATGCCCTTATCAGGATATCACTTGGAATATTTTATCAACTCATGCACGTGCACAAAAAAAAAACACAAAAAACCCCACAAAACCATATTAAATCTATTTTATCTGAATGAGGAAAAGGGAGTCATGATGCAAACATGTGGTTCTCAATTCTGGTTGCACATCAGCATCACTGGGGGAGGCATTTAAACATATAGATTCCCACCCCTACCACAGATATTTTGGTTTAATGATCCAGGGTGGGGGCCAGATACTGGCAAATTTTAAAACACTCATTAAGTGTTCAAGTACAGCCAGATGTGACAACATCCGACACAGAATAATCTACTGCGTATTTGCCAACTTGCCCCTGACAGGGCTCCCTCTAGTCAAATACAAGAATTTTTTTTAAAGCAGGTCTTACAAGACTCCTGCTTCCAGGTTCCCTTCCCTGTCCATTATACCTTGCACCCTTGCACCCACTTGCAAGGCAACAGCATTACAGATATACACATATAACAGTGTGCTAAAGGAGAGAGAAAATATTACACCGTACATGATGAAAATGCAATCATTAAAAAAATAACCAAAATTAATTATTAGCTTTGAAGCACACGGTTTATTGGTTTTAAATTTTTCCACACTTCTGTGTACTGCCCTGTGGTTTCAGCCCACACTTTTCATCAGGACAGTGTAGCATCTGAACTCCCATGCCTTTGCCCAATTTCACACTGTGTGGTGATGTTCCTAAGCAATACGGTCATATTCATTTACCCTAGATTTGCACTAAAAATAGCTCATGTCTTTCTGTGTGTCTTGGTTGCTTCCAATATGTCCCTTCCCCCTGCCCTCCCCAAGCTCTTGGACTTTGAAAAGAAGAAAGTGTACACCCTCAAGGTGGAAGCCTCCAATCCTCATGTTGAACCCCGCTTTCTCTACCTGGGTCCATTCAAAGATGCAGCTACAGTCAGAATTATGGTGGAAGATGTGGATGAGCCCCCTGTCTTCAGCAAACTGGCCTACATCCTACAGATAAGAGAAGATGCTCAGATAAACACGACAATAGGCTCAGTCACAGCCCAAGATCCAGATGCTGCCAGGAATCCTGTCAAGTAAGCACACTCCTGTGACCTGTCTCTTTCAGAAGCTTTAGACAATTGCTATTCAAGTATCACCTACAAGTTAGAAAATTAATCCTTTTTTCCAATGAGACACTTGTGTCTTCCTGAAAAAATACTCTACACAGCATCTTTACTCTCCTTGCTCAACATAAACATTATTTTAGCAACAGTGCAAATCTAAAAAACACAAAATTGGGGGGGGGGACACACAAAATGATCTATAGGAGTTGACTACTTACATGAAAATAGTATAAGGAAATAACAACAGAATGGCCTGGAATTTTTCTTTAAGGTCTTAGATTTGTCAAAGAGTGGCATGGAGAGAACTCTGTGACTTTTAATAAACAAGACACTGGGCTGAGTCTGTTTCTCAAGTGTGTAAGAACCTATCATATAACACTTAGAAGCAGAATTATGCTCCATTTGGATGCATAATGTTTTTCTTTTTCAGACATGGATAAAAATAAGAGTCATTTCATGATATATGTCTGAGAAATCCTGGGGAAATTAATAGAGCTGAATTCTAATTTATACTATGTAAGCAAGCTCTATTTTCCCTATACATTCCATATACCTTAGCTGTAAATCACGCTGTAAGAAAGTCTCATTGCTCTTTGAAACCACAGATGCTTTAGTATTCTAGAATTTTATCATGAGAGCACTGGAGTCAACAACTTCCAGCCTTGAGTCAGTAGCTTAGTTGACTAGATGAGAAAACTGCTAAATCAGAATATCATTCTATCAATTAGCCCCCATAAAAAAAAAAAAAGTAAGCAGACTGACAAGCTAGAGGACCTCTTGCCAGTGAGCCCACAGATAAATTCTGATCAGGGCACCTGCCATATGCCAGGTATGTTCTAGGCTTTAGAGATACAATAGAGAATAATATCAAGTCCTGATCTCATGAAGCTTACATTCTAATTGGGGCAGACAGAAATAGGCAAACAACAAATATGCAGTATTTCAGGTAAAATATAGTGTAAGCAGTAAAATAAGACAGAGTATGGAAACAGAGGGTATCTAGGGTACCATTTTACATAGGGTAGTCAGGTCTGCCCTTGGTAAGAAATCATTTGAGTAAAGATTTGATTGAAATGAAGGGATGTACTATGTTGATATCTGGGAGAAGAACATTCCAAGGAGAGGGAAAAATGAGGGTAAGGACTGATACAAGAGCTTGCTTGGCATGAAGAAGGAGTAGCAAGGAGGTTTATGAGCTAGAAGAGAGCGAGCAAGGTGGAGAGTAGTTTGTAAAGCAGGAGGCAACAGGGAGGTATGGTAAGTGATGAGTGTGGCAGGTCCTACAGGGCATTTGCAGGCCTTGGTAAAAACTGGATTCTATTCTGACTGAGGTAGGAAGCCACTGCAAAGTTTTGAATAGGAGTATTAACCTAATCTAAAACTACTGTTTAAGAGGATCACACTGGTGGCCCCATGAAGAATATTATTGCAGATGAAAGAGTCTGAGAGGTTCTAAGGCAATCATTTTCTAACTTTTCAGCCATGAGCTCTTGTTCAAATGAAACCTTATGGCAAGTCCCACATCTAAAACACAAAAATGCCTGGCTTACTCTCAGGGAATAGTTTTAAATCAACCAGAAAATAGACTCTTGTTGTTTTATCATTCTACAAGAATATCTGCAGACTCTGTGAACTGGACTATGGTCAACCCAAAGTAGACACATGTAAGCTCCACAGATCAACTGCCCTTCCATATACATTTAATATTATTAATAAGGAAAATGAACGACAGCCTTTGTTTGTACAACACAAATAATTTTAAGTACTTTCACAACCGATTCTCTCACTCGGAGTTTGTCCTAAGTGTGTAAGGAAATCTTAGCAAGTCAATGATAAGACCAATTTAAAAGGGTTAATGCTGTAAGTTCATATAAATATGAGCTTTGTTACCTCTTTGATCAGTCAACATGCGTTTAATTGAAAGAGATAATGTATCCTGGGAATTTAGGCTGCATTTTTATGTCTATTTTACTTTTTATAATGAATACCATTTTAACCCACTGCATTATTTTATGTTTTATTAAAGGAAGTAGTTAGCTTGTCAGACTGGGTTGGCTGTCAGCTAATTTTGAATTTTTTTATACCAGCCTTTTCTTGGTACATATGGATTTCATATATAGATATAGACTGAAGGGTAAAAATACAAATAAGGATATATTGTTATATAAATGTATATTCCAGGGAGTCCTTTTATAGGACAAAAGTGATTCTCATATTGGGAAAGTACATCCACACATAGTTTTTGGTTATCCAAGATTTAAGTATTGAACAACTAAGGTGCTAGACAATATGTTAGGGTACACAATTAATATTAGAGAATTCTCCCCCCAAACATTGATCTATCATTATGCAGACACAAATCTTTAATTCTTTAATTACATAAAATAATTTTCTTCCAGTAACTTTATCGTAAATGCCCTTTGACAATTCCATGGAAGAGCCTTATAAAATGTCACTCTGAAGAGATATTATGAAAAATTTACATGCAAACATACTTCCTTTCCTGACCCACAAATCTCCCTGACTTGAGAGGATGTATTAGAAGACAAATTATTGAATCACAGGATATAATAAATTTCTGGGGGGGGAAGAACTACCTAGCAAAATAATCTGCTATAATCATGTTAAGATTGATTACCTTGTTCCTTATCTGTTGTGACTACAATTAATGTGACTGGGCAGTAAATATACCAGATATGAATTGAAATTACTTTGGAAAGAAAAACAACAAACAGATAAGGCTTCATGTGCAAACATCTTTCCTAAACAATGCAGACATCTGAAATTTCCTATTAATTTTTAAATCTCCCAATTAAGGGAAAAACTCACGTACAATTTCGGTATTTCCTAAGTAGTTTCTCTTTAAAATCAATAGCCACCTTCAACTCAAAATTCCTCATCCCATATTCTTTATTTCAAAGGCTTGACAGGAAAATATGATTACTTGTAAAACTTAAAACTATAGCAGGAAGAAAACAAAACAAGAAAAGATTACTGCTGTATATAATTATAACAGCTTATAAAGGCTTAAATAAGCAGCATATCTTAAGCTTGAAATTTTTCATGAGGGGGAAAAAATATTTGTAGGCTGTCATTAAATTTCTTACGAAGTCTATGAATATTGAGATTTCCTTTTTGGGTAGTTATGTGCTATAAATATTTATCATTCTCAAATTAAAAGTGAAGGCAGGTGATCAAGTTCAATGCTGTTGCCTAAATTCTTAATAAACATTGATTCATGACATAAATGGCAAAAATAATGGCTATTTCATCTGTAAGAGATGAACCCTTAATAGTAAAATATAAGGTTTATATAAACTAAAATTAAAATTCTAACCTGACTTGAGATATATAGATATTCTTTTTGAACTTCTTAATTCTCTTTAATATCAGGTTTAAATAGACTCCAATAATCAAATTTCTATTTTATTTAGACCCTTGATAGATGACAAAAATATATTTTATTTAAACAAAATACACTTATCATAATTCACCAGTTACATTTTAAAGCAAAATAATCAACTGAAATAGAATCTTGAACATGGTACACTATTACAAGTTAGTAACAAGAGCTTATTTTTCTTAGAGCATCCATAATAAGTCTACATGTGTATGACTAGTTGGTTATCTACTTAGTTGTATTTCTGCCAAGCCAATATTTTTAAATTTCCCATCATGACATAAATTTTGAGACTCTAGCTGAAATGGACAATTTTTCCCCCTAATGACCTTAACATATTAACTGTCTCCTGAGTTTTCTCTTTAATATCCCCTACATAAAACAGTGCATACATATTTTCCCCATATATAGCTATTCCAAAAACTGGTAATAAATTGATAAAGAAGATACTATTTCTCAAAATCTGCTAGTCTTCCGTCAATTTCAGTGTTGAAAACTCTGTCCTCCTTTGGTTTCTAAGACAACTCTCAGTTTTCTTTGAATTCTCTGAACTCCTTAAATAGTTCTCCAGTTCCTACTCTGCTCTGGGCACTGCTCTAGGTACTGTGGGTCCCCATTTTCTCCATTTAAGTGATTCTCTCCCTAATGTTTTTCTCCCTTCACTGGACCTTCTCTTCCTAGACAATTGAACCGGAAATCTAAGTTGTCAATCCAGATCTTTCCCTTCCCAGGCTTTCCTTGATCACCCTCAGCTTTAATATATCAGGAACTTGGGATCTTCCCCAAATCCTGTTCTTCTCCTCTTCTACCAGTTTGTGACTGCACCAGCTAACCATTCTCCTCAATTCAACCAGTGATCTTTGTTAAACATGATTTAGGTTGGAACATTTCCCTGCTTAAAATCCAGTGGTAGATTCTCACTGTCTTAGAACAAATCCCAAATCCTCGCCATGGTCAGCCCATCCTTCCACAGTCCAGACTCTGAATCTCTCCCCAACCTCATTTTCTCTCTCTCTTTTCCCACCTCACTAACTGCAGCCACACTACCCAGTTTTTGATTCTGGGTATTGATTTTTAAAACAAAGTAGATAACAGAAAACTAGACAAAAACCCTACTCATGCACAGGAACACCTGCGTACACATTAAAGTTCTAAGGTTCTAAAAATTTGAGTTAAAATGTGACAATTACTATACAAACTTGATACAAATTACATATAAGAGAAACTTTATTGGTGATTCTCAAACTCATGCAACTTGTCTAATGGGTTTACCGTTAGGACCTCAATTGTAAAGAATTAATTTCCCAGAATATTTTGCTTAATACTGAGTTATAGATATGCAAATATGTGTTACAAGTAGAAAAAATTCATGTAACAGAAATTCTGGGACTAGTTTTAGGATGTGGGAATAACAAATACAAGGAAAACCTTTCTAGCATTGTATGGGGACAGATGGTAGCTACACTTGTGAGCATAGCATACATGTAGACTTGTCAAATCATTACACTGGACACCTGAAACTAAGGTAACTGTGTGTCAACTATATTTCATTTTAAAAAGAAAAGAAAACCATTCTAAATTCTACTCTGCATTTTTAGGTATTCTGTTGATCGACACACAGATATGGACAGAATATTCAACATTGATTCTGGAAATGGTTCAATTTTTACGTCGAAACTTCTTGACCGAGAAACACTGCTGTGGCACAACATTACAGTGATCGCAACAGAGATCAGTAAGTCTAACCTCACACCACAGCTGTCCCCAGTTGACGGAGTATGGAGTGAGTGTCCCGGCAAGGGCTGGTGAAGCGAGGCTGAAATTCATCACCATGTACTGATATCCTACTCGATACATATTGAGGGAAAGAGCCCTGTAATGATTTGCAGTAATGTTTCTTCTGGGCATGTGTTAATGCATTCACAAATGCGGAGGCACCTGTGGATGATCTGTAGTTCAGAAATAATAAAATGAGAATGCATCTCTCAAATGAGGTTGAATTGGTACATATTGGATTTGATTCCAAAAAGCTTTAGCAATCAGAACATAACAGAAGCAGCTGAAAAACATGGGCTCATGGTTGGAATTGGGAGGGGAGGGGAATCAAGTACATTAAAAAATGTAGGCATTACTTAGAAATCTTTCAGATATCTATCCTCCAGCTTTCTATAGAATTTCTAGTTCAAAATCATTACAGAAGTAAGAGATATAAATTTTAGCTTTTCCACTGTACACCAAAGTGAGCAATCCAAACCACCAAGTAATCAATAAGATGTTGAGAGCAGATTTTATGGAAGTCCCCATGAAATTGAAGGCAAAGAAAAATAGTGCCAAATGAATGCTTCAAATAAAATGATTATACACAGTGAAAATTGTGTAATGTAAACACAATGTGCAGGCCTAAGTACATGAAAGAAAAAGTATTTTTAAAATAACATTTAAATGCTTAAAAATAGGCCTCCAAATTATAGCTCATTTTTTAGTTTTTGTTTTTGATTTTAAAAGTTCAGATATTTTTAGCTCTGTTGGGTATCTAATGTGAAATATTCCATATCTAATGGTATATTACAGTAGTATTCTTTGTCAACCTAACTCATGAGATTTGAAATGGCTGAAGAATATTGAGTAGAATAATAAATAACCAATATGGGCAAAATGAAGCATTGCTTTGTGCGAGCATTAGGAACTCCTAATTACAAATCTGTTAGGTAGGAATTTGCTCTCCAGAATTTATGCGCAGGGACTAATGCAGATACCAATGACAGAGCATACTTAAAGCTTTAAAATTACAAAATTATTTTTCCCACTGAAAAGGACCATTTTTTATAACATCATGAAATTTTATGTTTTACTGAAGTAGTCATTTCATGTGTTTTTTAAGCTTTGTGCCTAAAAATTTTTTTAAGACTTAATGTTTCTGTGATATATTTGAAAGTACTAGTGATAAAGACCTTTTAAAACTTCATCTTCGAAACAAGATGAAACTAGAGAGGGAGACAAACCATAAGAGACTCTTAATCTCAAGAAACAAACTGAGGGTTGCTGGAGTGGAGGGGGGGATGGGGTGGCTGGGTGATGGACACTGGGGAGGGTATGTGCTATGGTGAGTGCTGTGAATTGTGTAAGACTGATGAATTACCGACCTGTACCTCTGAAACAAATAATACATTATATGTTAATTAAAAAATTTAAAAAAAACTTCATCTTCGGCAACTCCAACTTTGGAATAATGTGAGCAACATTTTAGATGCAAAGGAGCTTAAGAATCTTATTGTCTAAACTTCTTAACTATCTTTGATGCAACAGAAGCCCAGAGCTTACATAAAACCAGCCCACTCCCATTCCGGGGCCTTGGCACTTGCTGTTCCCTTTATCTGGAGAGCTGGAAATATTCACATGGCTTAATTCTTCTCTTTATTCATGTCTCTGTCCAAATGGCATCTCATCAGATGAGAATGAGCGGTCATCCCACTCAAAGTAGCACCTCCACCTCTCTCCCATCCCTTTCCCTCTTTAACTTCTCCATAGCATTTACCATCTGATGCATTATCTATTTATGTGTTTACAGTTTATCTGCCCCCAGTAGAATAAAGCTCCAGGATGCCGGATCTGTGTTATATCCCCCATGTGTCCCAGCACCCCAAAGAGTGGCTAGCACGTATTAGAAATGAGATGCTCACTAAATATTTATGATGTGAACAAACAGATATATAAGTGAAGTGAATGAGGAGCGCAGAGCTCAGAGATTCCAACTCCTGATTCTTAGACCGAGAATCTGTCTTCCACACTGCCCAAAATACTCATTCACCTCCAGTCTTCCAACACGGATGCTGCTCTGTCATTATCCTGGATGAACAGCCTGGGCTTTGGAATCAGACAGACCCAAGTTGAAATCTAGGCTCTACTTCTTACTTATCATCTCTGTGAAGGTGGACAAATTACCTAACTTATCTGTGCCTCGGTTTCCTCATCTCTATAGTAGGGGCGATAGCTGTATTTACCTCAAAAGTTTGTAAGGATTAAATAAGATAATATAGCAAAGTGCTGAGCACTACATCTGGCTTGTATTCAGCACAAAAACTAAAGAGCTAAAACCAAAACAACCATTGATTTCCTTCACATTTCCTTCGATCTTTCTTTTGTACAATTTTCCCCATCTCCTTGCTTCTTTGGCTTCTCTTAAAACCTGCCTCTAGACTGCCTTTCTTGGATAGCTTTTCTTTATTTTGTGTGACTCTGGGGTTCGCTATCCAGTTGTACTCTACCCACACAAGTAGCTTTGTCTCATAGGTATCTCCAAAAGATGTATCCAACTCCAGAAGTACCAATCTAATTCTTTTTGGTGACTAAGTTGTACATAATGCCCTGTGGTACTTAGAGCAGCCTTGGGGAATCTGTGTATGAATGAGAAAGGAGTGAGTGACAATTGTCTAAAGGGGATTGGCGATCAATACATAAATGCCTATTTCTTTCTTTTTGGCATGTTGCAGATAATCCAAAGCAAAGCAGCCGAGTCCCTCTATATATTAAAGTTCTAGATGTCAATGACAATGCCCCAGAATTTGCTGAATTTTATGAAACCTTTGTCTGCGAAAAAGCAAAAGCAGATCAGGTGAGTTTCGTAAGAAAGCAAATTAATTCAGTCAGATTAATTTAGATCTTCTAATACACAGAGCTGAGGGCGAGTTTTTGAATTATCTATGAAGTATATGCTAACAAAATTAATACTATAAATAAGAACCAGAATGAATGTTTAACTTGCATAAGAGAACAAACAGTTTTTAAGAACTGGAAGTTCATCATTCTCAGAGACTGATGCTGATTCAAATCAGTCTTAAGTTTTCATTAAAATAGATTAGTCACAGCTTTATTGGAAAAAATCTTAATTGGTGAGCTTACTTTTAATTACCGTATATACTGGAAAGCAATAACCAGAACATATTTTACAACTGTCTATAATTCATAGTTTCACTTATTTATATTGCCCATCTGTACAAGTAATACAAATTCGTGAATGTTTTCCTGTTTTACACATTTGTCCCTACCTGAAATAGGTCTTTTCTGCCAGTGATATAAAAATTATGTTACCGTTTGTCAAAATAGAAGTGCACTGTTAAAATACATGTTAAAGCAGGAAGCTGAAGTTGTATTTTATGTACAAACTTTCTTGTTAGCTTTTAGGCAAGTCGATGGCTTATGTACATGTCAAGACTGCGTTTCTAAACAGGCTGTGTCCAAAGAGTGCCTGATTTTTTTAGTTGAAATGTTTTCGTAGATCATTGTGGTATTTTATAGCTTTGTATCTAGGGCAGTGTTTCCCAACCCATGTGATTTTGCCCCCAGGGGACATTTGGCAATGTTTGGGGACATTTTTGATTGTCACAAAGAGTAGTGTGCTATGGGTGTATAGGGGGAGGAGGCCAGGCTTGCTGCTAAATATCCTACAGTGCCCAGTGGGGTTAGCCCTATAACAAAGTATCATTCCTGGCTCTATTTCCAACCCATTAGTTCATTGCATAAAGTAGATTCATTGTAAATTTTCTAGAGGCTATTGTTTTTAAATTAAAATTAGAAATCAGGGGCACCTGGGTGGTTCAGTCATTAAGCGTCTGCCTTCCGCTTAGGTCATGATCCCAGGGTCCTGGGATCGAGCCCCACATCGGGCTCCCTGCTCAGCAGGAGGCCTGCTTCTCCCACTCCCCCTGCTTGTGTTCCGTCTCTCTCTGTCAAATAAATAAATAAATAAAATTAAAAAAAAAAGATGCGTTAAAAAATAAACATAAAAAAATAAAGAAAATTAGAAATCATGTAGTCAAGCAATTTACTACAAAACCGTAAGGAACACTTTTGAGTTAGCTGAACTTCATAGCAGCTTTACGGTTTTGATTTTAGTTGATTCAGACCCTACGAGCCATTGACAAAGATGACCCTTACAGCGGGCACCAATTCTCCTTCTCTTTGGCCCCGGAAGCAGCCAGTGGTTCAAACTTTACCATTCAAGACAACAAAGGTAAATGAGCCCAAGTTATCTTCTGTCTATAAATTGATAGCTTTCTCTCTTGCTCTCTCTCTGTTAGCATCACAATTTTTCCAATCCACGATGTGGTATGCACATGACATTCACCACTTTGTTTTCGGGTTGCAGATAACACGGCAGGAATCTTAACTCGGAAAAATGGCTACAACAGACACGAGATGAGCACCTACCTCCTGCCCGTGGTGATTTCAGACAACGACTACCCAGTCCAGAGCAGCACAGGGACAGTGACTGTCCGGGTCTGTGCATGTGACCACCACGGCAACATGCAGTCCTGCCACGCGGAGGCCCTCGTGCACCCCACGGGCCTGAGCACAGGGGCCCTGATCGCCATCCTTCTGTGCATCGTGACCCTACTAGGTAAACTGCTTCTCCCTGCCTCCTATCTCCCCATGCTGAGGGGCACACACTGTTACTGTGACACCCTAGATTTATCCGCCTCTCCCGGTAAGGCATACAGCCCAATCTAGGTGAGCAGAGTTATATGCTGAGGATCTGTGTTGTTCAACCATGAACTAGTCTTGGCTTGAAAACAGCTTTGGAGAATGAACGGATGTGAAACTGGCCCATGTCTTCATCTACTCCGGGAATCAGTCCACCCAAAGCATCTCTCATCTATCAGATAGGGAATGAATCCCAGGGGGACTGGAGGGCACTCTCAATGTGCCCTTTCCATTTCATTTGTTGTTTCCCGTTTAACCTGGCAAACATTGTTAAATTTTAAAGAGAGAAAGTCATCCGGCACAGAGGGTGTGCTGAGGGCCCTTTCTATGAAGGTAAAGTTTAAAGATCAATGGGAAAGTGGAAAGAGAAATGTGATGACTTTTTCCCTCTCATACGGGGAAATGAAAAGTGATGAAATTTTCTTCCACCCAGCCAACTTGCTTTGGGCTACCCCTTTGAATCACTAACTTCTTAGCCTTGCGCCCCAACTGCCACGTACACAATGTCTATTATTTCTCAGACTCTCAATAATTATCAACTTCTGTGACTAAGGAAATAAATCTGGAACCGAAAAGAAATGAATGCAATCAAGGTGAAAATTGAGGTCTAGCAATGATTCAAATGAAATTTTTGTCCCCATCCCATGAATTAAGCACACAGGTTAAGCTCAAAATGCTCAACAGACCGTTGACTGTTGTGAACTAAGAAATCAAATGTTAGTTAATTCAGTTCTTCCAAAAGTCAAAGTAAGCTTGCTACACAAGGGGGAAGAAAATGAAGAAGTTAAGCGTCAACCTGGATTGCCCAGGGGGGTGGGGAGGGGAATCTTTTTAAAAATTACAATATAGCGTTGAGAAGAATATAGAGTAAAAGACCTACATTTTTCCAAGAAGAGAATGCCTAGGGATCCCTGCTTAAGAGTTTCACATTCCATATCAATTTTGCTAATTATAACAGAAGTCTTTTAACTACAGAACTGTGATTCTCTTTGTCAACGAAGATTTGGGGAAAGTATTTTAAGATATGAAGATAAATAAAAGCCGACAGTATGCAAAGACAAATCAGTGTTTCTAATGGGGTGAGTCTGTAAAAATTGTTTTGGAAGAGAAGGATACAAATATTCTTTTTGATTAGGGGGGAAAAGGTTATTTTTAGAAGGGCTGAATTGGCAAGGCTGTAGTCAGGGAGAATTCCACGGACTCTTCCATGGTCTATAGAAGGAGAGCTCTCATCTCAAAGAGGTGATTCTTCCTTTCCTTCATCATCTACCCATTTTCTCTCCCTCCCCCCCACCACAGCTTTTTTCCTCCTCACCAACTCCCTTTATCCTCTCTTCATCACTTCCTTCCTCCAATAAATTTGCTGTTTCCTCGGGACTCTTAACTTGTCTCCTTGCTCCTTACATCTGGTCTAGTGTCTTTGGAATTCTGTACCTAATTAAAAAAGGAGCTCAATGGGACTGATCCTTTACTAGGCTAACACCGTAGGCTACACACTGGCCAGGATGCCTCACAACTGTTCTTCTCCTTTAACCCTCAGAACCATCTGGTATATATTTGTCTGCATCTCAAATAAGAAAACCAAGGCTCCAAGAAGTGCAGTCCTGTAGACACGTCGCACAGCTAACAGGTGGTAGAACAAAGTTCTAAACCCAGGTCTTCCACCCCCTGAGCCTTGGTGCTTCCACACTGCACTCTACCTTCTTTGTGAGCTCATAGAAGGCAGGGCAATGTCCAGGCTGAAAGAGAGCTTGAACTGCAAATGAGACCATCGAAGAAGGTGGAAGCAAACCTGAGATTTATAAGAGAAAAGCCACACCAATGTGGGAGGAAATCTGCAGTCAATAAAGTGGATCCTGTGGCATCTTTGTTTTATTTACAAAAATAAAACCACAGTGAAAACAACCACGACATCTCGTGTCTCTATGGTGCTTTAGAGTCTACGAAACTTCCACATTTATGAACGCATTCCTGATGACAACACTGGGCACTGTGTTATTGCTTCTCTTTCACGGAAAGAAACAGACTTAAAAGGGTCAAATCCTTTAAGTGAGCCTAGGCAGGCCGATTTCAAATGCTTTGCTACCTTCTAGCTTTATGATGGGATTTGAGAGCAAATTGGTCCAAGCATCCCTCTTCCCCCCGCCCCCCCCACCAAAATCTCTCTGCTGTCCTTTGGCCTCAGGGGGTAGAGAAAAGGGAAGAGGTCAGTTACTGGGAAGAAAGCTATTACTTTCTCAGAATGTGTTTTTTTGTTCCACGTGCTCAGAACTCACATCTTCAGTCGATAAAAGTTAGCTTTGAGAAAGATTTCCCTTCTAGAATTTCTGTTCAGATGTACATTGAGCTAAAAAGAAAAGATACAGGCAGTTGTAGCTGTAGGAGAATGAGGCAGTGAAGAAATGCCTTTGAATTACCCAATGTGCCCTCTCTTCTAGGTATTGCACTTTCAGGTGTGCAAAGGACCAAAACAAAAGATACAGATCACTTAAACTGGGGCAGAATTAGGTAGTGATAAATGCCTGCTCTCTTGCCTTAAATGATGGCACGAACTGTGGTACATAAAGGTTGAATGATTTGGGAGACATTCGTCTTGATTCTATTCATTATCCCCAGAGGCCATCCTTAGTTACAATCCTCTGTTTCGCAAATCCTTGCCATTGGTCACACTGGAATCCAGCATAAAGGGTAGATTATGAACATCCCTCTGCCCAGAGCCCTGCAATTTTCCACCCACCAGCACCTCAGGGTAAAGTGAGGACATACAGAAGCCTCCAGGCCCCACATGACATGGCCTTTCCCTACTCCCTTCCCGTCCTGGCGGGGCTCCCTCAGGTCCAGCCGTAGGATCTCCTGGCTGTTTGTCACACACTCTAGGCACCCTCCCATCCCAGGGCCTTTCTTCTAGCTCTGTCCTCTTCCCCCGACAGCTCCTTGGCTGACTCCCCACACCTTTGCTCAACTGTCACTTCCTCAATGAGGCACTCTCCTCCTACAAAGCATACACAGCCTCTCAATCACACATGGAAGTGCTCTTCACCCTCCTCCCTCTGCTCTACTCTTTGTTCACACTGTACATACCACCTTCTAATAATTTCCTTATTTATGCTACACACTGTTTGTTTTCAGGCTCCATCCACCACCACCACCACCACTCCTGCCCACCTCCTGATTAATGTTTTGCACCGATAGTGCCTAGAACAGGACCTGGCACAGACAGAGTAGGCACTACATAAATATTTCATAAATGAATAAATACATCAACGCCCCGAATGGCTGAGACTAAAGAGGCATGAGGATGCTCTTTGGCAGCAAGAGAGAATGTGTACAATCACACAACCACACACTTGAAATGGCAGCAGTGGACAGCCTTTAGAAGTAGTCTATAACCCAAACATGCTTGGTGATTAAAAGGGTTGGCTTTTCAGTCTGACCTGGATTTCAATTGTTTGCATATGTGACATCTCTAAACCTCAATTTCCTCTATGAGAAATGGTTACTATATTATATAATACATATAATATATATACATTATAAAATGAAGGTCCCTACTTTGTAGGGCTGCTGTGATAATTAAATGAAATTCAGTATGTAAAGCACTTGCCACAGTGCTTGGCATATAGAACTCTCTCAATAGATAATCAATTATTAATAACACTATTAACACCTGAAAATTTAATATATAGATATCTGGGTATGCATATATCCGTCATTATATAGGTAGATATACATAGTCACCAAAAGCCGTTATTCTGTAATCCTTACCACAATATTTCAATCTTTATGGCTCATAAAGTCTGGACCATGTTACGGATGAGAAAATAAAAACACGTTACTAGTACTTCCTCTAGTAAACACCCCTGGACCAACCCAGTTCAACAATGCATTTTCTGCCCCGGATGGCGTTTCCTCTCTAATCTGTCACTGTGTTTTTATTTTCCCACCCATATGTCCATTCAGAGATGTGTCTCTCTAGAAGTAGCCAGCTGTGTTCGACCCAGTCAGCTGTGAAGAAGCATCAGGAGCTCGTTAAACACAATTCTTGCTTTGCCTCTAATTTGAGTTAAGGAGGAAAAATCCAAAGAACGAACATTCCAGGCAACAAACTTACAGAATATGAACCTTTGAAATAATTTTTTCAAGTTCCCTCTTAAATGTGTTTATTTTGTTTAGCTCAAACAGAAATAAGCCGGTGCGTGTCTTATAACCTGCCCCCTTTTAAATGGGCTGATCTTTAAGTCCAGAATGGCTTTCTGAATTGTATCTGGGCCTCTCCAGGTATTATCTGTAATCGTATTTCTTCTATGTAGAAAGGTATGCAGACATTCACATCTCTACTTTGGGTTTCAAACGAATTTTACACTTCTCCCAGGGAAGAAAAAAGAAAAGAAGAAGGCATAGTGCAAAAGTTATTTTAGCTGTGGAGTTATGCAAACCTTCAACACATCCCGAAGGTGCCAGCCTTGTGCTTATAAGCAGTTTCAGAGCATTTTAGGTGTTCAGCATAATTTGCACTCTTATTGCTGCACTCTCGCTGTTTGAGCTTTTTTTATTATTATTTTTTCCTTACCTTGAAAACAAGTTTGCCGTTTCAAAGCAAAAGGGAACTACTGACAAAATATGAAGGTGTTTTATCCTCTACTTAAATCGTAACTCTCTTTCAAATATTTACTCCGGTTTTTTTTGGCGGGGGGGGGGGGGGGGTCCTGGTTTGATCATGCAGGGAGGCAAGCGCAACCTCAAAGCAATAAAAGTTGAGTCTGCAGTTTCCTAGAGAAGTTTTAAAACTTCACATTGGAGCACAGTGTGTCTTGCTGACATTAATTGGGCAGCGAATTAACTTTCCCTTCCCCATTCTGCTTTGTTTCTGCTTCCAGTGACAGTGGTGTTGTTTGCAGCTTTGAGGCGGCAGCGGAAAAAAGAACCTTTGATCATCTCCAAAGAGGACATCAGAGACAACATTGTCAGTTATAACGACGAAGGTGGTGGTGAGGAGGACACCCAGGCCTTCGATATCGGCACCCTGAGGAACCCCGAAGCCATAGAGGACAGCAAATTACGCAGGGACATCGTGCCCGAGGCCCTTTTTCTACCCCGACGGACTCCCGCAACTCGCGACAACACCGACGTCCGGGATTTCATTAACCAAAGGTTAAAGGAGAATGACACGGACCCCACCGCCCCGCCCTACGACTCCTTGGCCACCTACGCCTACGAGGGCACCGGCTCGGTGGCCGATTCGCTGAGCTCGCTGGAGTCGGTGACCACGGATGGAGACCAAGACTACGACTACCTTAGTGACTGGGGCCCCCGGTTCAAAAAGCTCGCAGACATGTACGGAGGCGTGGACAGTGACAAAGACTCCTAATGCCTTGCCTTTTGCCTTTTGCCTTTTCCAGTACGACACCGAAAATAGGTGAAGTGGCTCTTTCTTTCTACGTTATCCACCGCTCCGTGAAGGGTTCTCTGTTCTACCCGTTCCAAACGTCAATGGCTGCAGCCGGTGTGGATCCAATGTTAGAGACTTTTTTCTAGTACACTTTTATGAGCTTCCAAGAGGCAAATGTTTATTTTTTAGCGCATCCAGTTAACCATGTCAGCCAGCCCAACAGGCCCCGTGCTGGAGGAGAGCGCCAGGAGTGGTATTTTCCCTCGTTCTCTTAGGGCAAGTTCCGAATGGGCTCAGTTTCCCTGGCCTGGTCTCCCTGCTACACTCCATTGACTCAGGTCAGCTGGTCGCTCTGGCTGTACATTTCACATGCTAATGGGATGAGGGAGGGACTGTGCTTTAATGATAAAAAATATATATAGTTTTAGTAAGAGAAGTGAGGGAGGAACACCTGTGAAGTTGGTCCTGGTATATCAGCTCACAAGGAGATAATGAACTATATAGATGGGTGTGTATTATGGGTGTGTCGCAAAGAATTTAAAATGGCATTTGCCCATCCTTTTTGTTCTTCAAGAACTTTATCCGGCACCAATGACTATTCAAATCATCAAATCCACCAACGTTTTAAGATTCTTGTTCCTCTTTTGGACTAGAAGCAAATTAAATGGTAACGTTGGAAAACAACAAACAAAATGTAATACCTCATTCCTTGCCACTAACTCATAATTTGTTATATATTAAACCTGTGAAAGTTTGCCCTTGTACCATATAAAGAGAAAGGGAAAATAGCTAAAGATGTTGAAAAAGGAAATATTTAGCCTATTTTAAAGTTCGGGTCACCAAATGTACCACAGATCACTTAAAATTATTTCAACCATCAGTAAGCTAATTATAAAAAAGTCTAATTGTTTAAAATTCTTGAAGGAACTTTTCTGAGACAAATTTTAACTCCTTGACTGTAGTTGTTGTCAGTATTATTCTAATATACTTGAAAGTAGCAGCGTGAAGTACAATAACTCATACTCTTCAGAGACTTCGTACACAATTAAGTTGCATTAGTAAAGATAGATTAAATAAAACTCAAATCCCGCCCTCAGAGTTTAATGGGGAAATGACAGCCAGCCACACTTGAACTTGAAACCCTGTCCTTCACATCTGGAAACATCTATATATTTATATGACATGATAGATATAGATATATTGTTGAGATCATAGTGAAAAACTACATAGTACATGTTTGGAAGACGCTTACGAAGGGAGAAATGTGATTCCCTTCAATAAGAGTGTTTAAGATTGTATTAAAATGATAGTTGACTTTCAAAAGCATTAATAGTTTTTCATTGTTTTTAACTCTGTTGCTATGGCAACCTTGCCATCTTTGTCTTTGAACTAATGATAAAGTGATGGTCTCAAACTACAACGGAAAAGTAATGTACAAGCCATCCAATCTATTATTTCTCTAATTATGCAATTAGCATCATAGTTATTTTCCAGAGGACCCAACTGAACAGAACTAATCCTTTTGGTAGGTTCAAATCATTTATTTCATATGGCTGTTCTAATGATTTGTATCATTAGAATCTTACATTGTGCAGTCATCAGAAATTTCCAAAGTACTGTAATGAAAACATCGTTGTTTTGAAAACTTAAAAAAAAAAAAGCAAACCCAGGCTCTGTGTATATACATATACATATATATATAAATATATATTATGTACTTAAGAATATTCTGACTTCAATTATTAGTCTTAGGGATTTATTTTCAATTAATGTTAATTTTCTACAGATAATGTTATTTCCATTTGGGGCTACTGTCATATTAGTACATACTTTCTATTTGGAAACATACAGTTGTTAAGTTTTAAATAGGTGTATTACCCAGGAAGTAAAGATGGCACGTTTAAAATAAGAGAAATGTAGTCTTTTGGGTTACCCAATTAGAGTGAAAAAGTTTTATATCCATATTCTTCCTTGTGTTTCCGAATGGTTTCCTATTTTGTAATGGACTTCCCTGTGTACTAACAAGTGTTTCATGTTTTCAGGGTTTTCTTTTGTTAGTTCTTCATACATACACACACATACACACACACACACACACACACAGGAATGCAAACAAAATACTACAGGAGAGTTTCACTTAAAATGAATATCATAGTCACAGTTAAATGTTGAAAAAAAGATAGCTTAGTAAAGTTAATTAGTAAGAACTAGTTATTTATAGCAATAGAACACCACCTTAATCACATGACTTACTGTAAAATCAAAGAGCTCTCTGTCCTTATGTTTCACATCATGTAATAAATTGTATCAAGAAAGATAGTCCTGTAAAAAGAAAGATATCATGAGAAGTCTTCCTTTTGAACTTTTGGGTTAATTGGAATGTCTGAGGGTCGACACTAGCAACTTCCAATGTTTAAGGGTAAGGTTTATTCTCTCCTCATAAGTGAAAGTAAGTAGTTCTGTAGTGGAACATTTGAGATATAATTGGCAGGGTATATTAATCCCACCTTGAAGGTGGTACAGTGAGCCAAGAACAAGTTAATATGACTAAATATTGAAATTACTGCTTAATCTCTTACCACAAAACCTGATGATAAAGTGAATCTCTAAGAAATTGGATAATTTAAGACTAGAGCTGAATATTTAGTACTAGGGTCCTGTAAGTATTTTACTATAATTAATACTCCCTGATGTCATGGAAATAATGAGAGCCATACTTCCATGATTCCATGTGGGTCTCACTTCCTTCCCACCAAGATATCGCGTCAAGGACCCCAGTCAACATGAATGATTACTGGAGAAAAAAACTAGTTTTCAGCTCAGTTTTCACCAAGTCTCTGTCATGATATTAGATGTTAGTGACAAGAAGGATGGAAGGAAAATGGGAAGAGGTAAAATTTAATATTTGCTTTAGTCACTATGAAACTAAAATTCCTTAATTATAACCAGATCACTTTTGTGGATTGCTTCAAGGACTTTGGGGCCCTTCTGAAATTTTTTCCCCCTCCATTCAAAGGGGAGAGTTTCTTCAAACCACCAAGATGCTCCCTAAGTAAGCTGGGATTTTTAAAATGTTAAACTATTGTACATAAGTTTACAACCCCTTCACTTCATAGCCACTTTCTGCTAAAAGGAATAAACATTTGTCCCCAAATAAAAAATGAAATCAAATGGGAGAGAAGAATAGATGGTTCCATGGAACCATAAGACAGGGGCTCTGGGCACAGTAAATAAATGCTTTTTACGGAGCTTTCTTAGCTTTACAGTTTAGTTGTGTGAAGGGAGTTTCAGATACAAATTGACTCCATTTTCAAATAAAACAAAACCTGGCAATTCAATTTTAACTCATTAAAAAAAAATTCTGGCTTAGTGTTCATTTTGAGCTCCAAAAATGTTGTACAAAAATTTCTTAAAAGTTGAATCTCTATTTTAGAAGCATCCAAAATTTACAAATCCAAATTAACTTTAGAAAGTTTCCATTACTTTCATTTCTAAGTGCATAAATATTAGATACCCTAATTTGCTGAGCAATACCTTCCATCAAATGCTTTGCCTTGCAATGGGTATTTCATTGGAGATAAATGTATAAACTATGAATTAAGAATTCCTCAATGCTACATACTTGAGGACCATAAAAGTATGCAGCTGAAAAGGAAGAACAGAGTTGGTTCTTGGCCCAAACTAAGTACTTAAATCAGACACACGTAAATTCATTTTCCCCAGGAACCAAACCACCAAATCAATTATCTTACCCTAGTCACTAGTTTTAAAGCAACGTAATTACTTGGGAAGAACACTCTAGAAAGTCATGATCCCCGCACTATTTTGAAAGGTGTCCTCTAAAAAGGATCGTTTTTAGTGTAATTTCATTTTTATGATTTCGTCTAGATGAAATCTTTTTTGAATTGTGACAGGGAATTAAATAGTCAAGCATTTATGTTTAACACTAAAACCCAGCCCCCTCTATCAGATTGTAAGAGTGGAAAGATTAAGACTTAGTGTATGGATCTTCAGGAAGACGAACTATTGTCCAAAGTCTGACAAGCAACTTTCTTTTCCAGAGAATACAGAATTACAGTATGGCCTCCTTAAAAGTTCAGTGGCTATTATGTTTGCAGCATTTTTAATCTCCCTTTGGCATCTTTATGGAATAGTTTTCTAAAGGGGCAATTTTCTACTAAAAAACATCAGACCCTGATCATGTTCAGTGTGCAGAGGAATACCCTCTTAGAAAGGAAATACATTGACTCACACACTTGTTAAAAGTTAATAAAGAGATAGCTCATTTTTAAAGCCAGAAGTTTATGGTCTCTGCATCATCAATTTAATCTCAGCAATGCTGAGACAATCTTTAATCTACTCCCCATTTTGTAATACCTTATTTATGATGCATTTTCATTTTTTAATTTGGGGGGAATGTTAGCCCAACAGAGCCAGCAGATGAAAGTGCCAAAAGGAGGTCAAATGGAAACAAAGCCTATTACCCACTGTATATCAGACAGGACCAAGGCACTTAGCCTGAGAGCCACTGGGTTATTAGATTAATTTCAAAAGAGCTTTTACAAGTTGCTTAATTCCAGTTTTTTTTTTAAACCCATGGACCACAAATTCAAATTTCTCTTCAAATGGGGTTAATTTGACAAATGAGGCATGGATCTAGTGTTGTGGAAAAAGCATTCCGCTATAATGAGATCTTGGTCTTTCTTGCGAGACTATGTTATTTATGTAAATATGTCTAGAGGCACCTTCTATAAGTTTTTAGTTTTCTATGATCTATTAGTTTAGTGTTTATTAAGGAATCAAATGTATAGAATTGCTAAGGCATTCAGGGAGAATGCTGTGTAGCAAACCAACCGATCTGCTCAGAAGAAACGTAGGAACGCTTCAAAACCACCGTATTGTTTTGTTTGTGATTCTTTTCATTGCTTTGAAAGTAAACTGCCTAAGAATAGGCCTTATAATAAATGCTACGTGCGTCT